CAATTCCTATGAAATCACAAATTAGATCATTGACCAAATTTTGAGTTGGTATCAATTTATGCTTGATTGCTCTAGATATAGTTCCTCGAACCACATTTTCTAAATGAACAAGACCTAGTCCAAATTGATCTTGCAACAGATCTACTACAGAACAAATCTTTATTTCATAAAAAGAAGCATGAATACATTCTATACCACTATTTTGTTCTTGGTCCCAATTCAATAATATAGCAAGTGCAAACTAATTGATGTGTTCCTAGTCATTGTAATAAGAATACTTGATTTTAGTATTTAGGTATATAATTCTTTTATTATTGTTATTATTTTCTAATCCCACCTCTAGTTATATTTTAGTATGAATTGTGAGTTAGGTGGTCTCCTTAAGGATGGTACTATTAGAGTAAGTTCTCTCTATTCTTCTAAGAATATGAATTGTTGAGATGATTTTAGGTGATAATCATTCGTTATGAACATATGAAAGTTCTAAAAGAAATTAATATCTAAAAGAAGTTCATAGAATAAGAAAAGAAAATGAGAATTGACATGGAAAGCTAAAATCAAATAACTGAGCATCTATTTTTCTCTCCTTATGTAATGACAAGGAGAAGTATAGAGAAACAAAAGAAAAGAGAGTGTAAGTAATCCAGAAGTGAACTGTATTAAGTGTAATTAGAAAATGAATTAAACCTAACACAAGTAAAAACAAATTCAAGGTTATAAGAGAGCAATGTTAAAAAAAGAATGAGTAAAGACTTATTTGGAACAAAATGTTAACTAAATGGGAAATCAAAATCAGAAGAAAAGGAGCTGTAAGCACGTAAAATATGTGTCGATCACCTTTGCATTCCCTCTTTGTCATGTGAAGGGAAAATAAGGATCTAAGCCATCTCAAATGAATCTAAACTATTCTTAATCAAAATGAATTCACTCCTAACTCTAATGAGAACCTGGCATCCTTTCTATATCATGTGGAGAAGGATCAAGTCCTTGATTCAAGTATGAACTCAAAATTAAAAGAAAACTTAGTTGTAAAAAAATCAATATAGAGTGCAAATGAAAGGAGATTCAAATTAAAATTTAAGCAAAGACAAGTAATGAGATTAAAGAAATTAAAAGGAATGTAACAAACTTGAACTAATGAAAACTCAAACCATAGGCAAAATGCAGAGCATTCGAAAATGTAGATAACCAAGCAAGTTAGCTGCAATTTCTGGTCTTATGAAACTGATTCAGACAATCTGATTATGAACGCCATAAGTGTACATAAAATATATCCCGCTAAGAAATCTATTATGATAACTGCAATTGAATAAATACTTTTGAATTATATATAACCTTTTGACGATTATCTCGATTGATTTAATATGATAGAAAATTCATTGTGAATGACGGCCTTGTAGTTTAGTTTTTTTGTCATGAGTTTTTTTTTCTTTATGTTTAACGTTAGAACAAGTTTATATCAAAATTCTCAAGCTACACATTATTTTTGATTCATATCCCATGTAAAAAGTCTTTGGACAATGTAAATGTTTTTTGTTAGTACAACTAAACTATTGGTATATACAATTGATTGCGCATGTACTAGCTCATGGTCTTTTAATTCAAAGAAAGCTATTCTAGAAAGTTTTCACGAGGCCTGACATTCATGTTCTAGGGTATTCTTTTCTTCTTAGAGATTTTTCTATATATCAAAATGCTTTCTTCATTCGTTAATTGGCTTTGTATATATAGGATCCACTTAAGGCCCACCAAAAGAATGACTTATTCTTAAACAAGGGCAACATCTTTATCTCATAAAAAAGTATTCCTTTCATGCTGGAGGCATACTCAAGGCAATTCAAATAAGATTTCTTGGATTTCCTAAGGTTCCAATCACTAGAAATGGCCAAAGGGGGACGCATGGTGCTATTTTTAATTGGCCGTATGGGCTTTGATGGTACTAGTGAAGTTACCCAACACATGAATGTGTTGTCATTAGGGCTCATGGACATGGTCCAAGAGGTTTGCCATCTACTTTACTCATATCAATGAATTTTCAACAGTTTGTTTTGGTATTCTCATGTTCACTATGAATTAATTAAAGATTTACATATTGGGTTCTAGAGTTGATAACCTCAATTAAATGTCAAAAATCCAGAACAACAAAAACAACTTGCAACATCAGCCGTGATCATTTTACTTATGAAAAAAAAATAATTCTAGCATAAATGTACATAACCTATAGTATAATTAGGTCAATTTTCCTTTATCAACATATGTTGTCTTTACCAAAAGGTAGGACATTCAATTCTAAGAAAATTTGGATCTATCCTGAATATCATTTGAAATAGCCATTTTTTTTAGTTTTTAAATTCCTAGATGGAAACTATACCATATTGATTTTCTTACAAGCCCTTTGGGGAAATTTAAGCCTCCACTCTCCTATCTTACTTCCTCTCTCTATTTTATGTCATTTCTTGTCATATGTTGTCTATTATTGAAAATAGCTCTCTCACATTGAAATAACATAAATATCTGCTTTTTGAATCTTGGGGGGTACTTAGAAATACCATATAGATCTCATTTACATATTACTTTGTATTTATTAATTTTATAAAATTGATTGAAAGATGCATATTACTGCTTTGGTGCACAAGATTATATCATAGAGGAGAAAGTAGACTTCTTTAATATTCCATTATACACACTTTGTGTTTTGGAGCTTGCACATGAAATATTAACTGAAGGATTGTTTTCCTTGGATTACTTGAAAGTGTTTGAATTAGATTATAACATAGAGAGAAAGGAAGCTATTTCCAATGGGACAAAAGGAGAAAGATTGGGAATGAATTTACAAGTAGTCTTTGAGCCATTACTAGCAAGTCACTTTAGAAGTGATATTATTAAAGGATTATTCTCTAGGTTTAGTAATTCTATTGACAAAGGTACATGTGGAAAGGAATGCAATATGGGATATTTGATTGTGTCATTAATAAGAAAGTCCTAGGAAAGACAAAGTTTATTGGTTGTGATTCCTACAAATTGTTACCTTGTCTTTGCAAAATAAAGTTGATGTATGAGCACCTCCAATATGACCAAGGGACCAAGAATGGAAATCAGTTTATGAAGATAATTTAAGCTATTACTCGCAAGTTAGTTTGAAAGTATGTTATTAAATGTTTATTCTCTAGGTTTGGTACCACTATTGGCGAAGCTCTTTGAAAATGAATGCAAGATGACATGTTTCATATTATAATTCATATGGAAGTCCTAGGAAAGATAGTTTGAATAGATTGGTTGTGATCAAGAACTTTCATGTCAATCATTAAGTCAGTTCAAGTGTAGCTACCTTTCATATTCTAACACTCTACTACATGGAGTAAAACCTTTTCTTTATTCCTTCATTGATCATTAATGACCAACATTTTCCTTTTGTAGATGCATGTGTTGGTAAGGTGCTGACATAGTAGTCATATGCAGATTCCCTAATGAGTATATTTCATAGTACCCATCGGAGCAAGTAATTAAATAAAACTAAAAATGTTGCTAAGAATTTACATATGCCTCATCAAGACATGGAATAGACAAATCTTCTTTATGTGGTAAAAGTCAGAGGTAAAATATGATAAAATCAGGAGTTATGAATATACCTTAAATCTATGTTATCAACCAAGAACAGGGATTATGAGTCTCATTAAAGATTTAGTTGGTCAACAAAATATGAACTAAGAGTGCACATATGATCATTTGTCCTGCCTTTGGTGGAGTACTTTTAATGTAACTGATTAGAAAATAACGTTTCTTCACAAAGTGGTGAAATGTAACAACTCGCTTCCAAATAAATGCAGATTGGTGGGGGGGGTGGAATTCTACTCTTAGCCATCCAAATAGAAAAATAGTGAGACTATCATTTCAAAATGATTGTGAGTTTATCCTTGATCATTGGCACATCAATGTGGAGACCTTTGTCATGCAATAGATGTCAATTTCAATCAAAATAAATCTTGCAATGGAGAATGTCATAAAGGTAGAAAGTAGGATATTAAGTAAATTAAAAATATTAGAAATTTAAAAATAGAAATTAGCTGGGTAGGTAGTTCTACTGTCGTGTCTCTTGGCATGTAGCTTAATAAATGTGGTGGTTGAAACTAACATCAATAATTGAATCTTCTAGCCAGGAGCATTACTCCCAAAGTTTTTTGATTCAGTGTCATTAGGAGGTTGGGCAGGAATCTGTTGGATTGGCTTGCAATCAATTGAATTATCAGCATCAGATTAGGGAATTGGCAAATCAAGTGACGTATTGACGGTTTAGTGGACCTACCAAGTGTTGTGGTGGTGGGAAGACTGTTCGATGTATGTTCTCCCATGTGGAGCTGATAGAACTGGGACGTGGTAGGATTTATTGACAATCCATATGGTGGCCTTTTAGGGCCAAAAATAGAGAAGTCCTGGGCGGCATCTCCCGTATAAATGGAGAGGGGATGAGACAGTGGTAAGCCAAAGCAGGGCCTTGCTCCTCCCTCCTACTCTTGTTTTGTAAAACAAAGAATATGTTACCCATCAGTGAAGAAAAGCTTGTTGCAGCTTGAAGAAGCTGCCTAGCACTGGTGAGGGTGACCAAGGCCAATGTGGGGAGAGAATCGAGGTGTGTTCAATCTTGACCTCATGACAGGGAAGAGCAACTAAGGTGCATCGTAATTCAAAACATTCATGACAACACATGATGAACAAATACTAGAAACCTTAAATCATGTACAGAAGAAATTAGCCTTCTTCTCCTACTCCTCTTGAGGTTCCAAAAATTGGCCGCGATAGGTCAAGATGGATGCTCTCACTATTCTCTTTATGAGTGTAGGAGGAGGAGAGACCAGCTACGCCAAGAACTCTGCCATTTAGGTTCCTACTTGAAGAAGGAATAACTCTTCTTCAACTTCTTTTTGGGTTTCACCTATTCCTTCTAATATGTTTTTTGATGTAGCCCTATCAAAGCAAGTCAACATTTCAATCAAGGTTCAAAAATGTCACGAGGTAAATCTGCTCATATTGGTGATGATGATTTACATGATGTTTTTCCTATCTCAAAACTATATTTTATTACTTTTCAAGATCGAATAGATCAAAAATTTGATGCTATTAGTGATACCTTGAAATAATTTTGGACAAGAATGAGTGTATTAGAGAGTCATTCACGCCCTCCTAGAGATCAGGTAATCAGATGTCCTCAAAAGGTCACTCATATCGAATCTTCATCAGATACTCAGTGTTCATCTAGTTCTACAAGTTTTAAGTTAGGATTTGAAGAAGATAAGTTTTGAGATTTTCATATGAAGATTGACTTACCATGTTTTAATGGCCATTTGAAGATTGAAGAGTTCTTAGATTGGTTAGTTGAGGTAGAAAGATTTTTTGAGTGTAGGAAATTTTTTGATGAAAAGTAAGTAAAGTTATTGGCTTATAAACTGAAGGGTGGAGCCTCTATATGATGGGATCAATTATAGACCACATGTATGAAGTCAGGCAAAGAACTTGTATGATCATGGGAGAAAATGAAAAAACTCTTGAAATCTCAATTTTTTTCCCCAAATTATGAATAAATTTTGTATCAACAGTATCAAAACTACAAAGAAGGAAATAGATCCATTTTTGATTATACTGAAAAATTTTATCGTTTATGTTCTCGAATTGACTTGACAGAATTTGAGTCATATATGATTTCAAGATTTAAAGGTGGTCTCAGATGACAAGTTGAAGACAAAGTAGCTTTACAGTCATTTTTTAATCTTCATAATATTGTAATGGGTTTAGAGCATATTGAAACCTTATTAGAGAAAGAAAAAACCAGAATTCAAACTTTTAGAAGTTAGAATTCAACTCTTCAACTAGATAGAAGAGGATCTACCGTTGTTTCTTCTACACCATATAATGGGCAATTGAATCAAAATTCTATCAAATCAAGTGGAGCAAATCCTTCTGCCCAAGTCTTTACAAACAAAAAATTTTATACTCTTAATGTCATTTCTAAATGCTACAGGTGTGAAGAAATTGACCACAAAACAAAATCTGTTCTAAACATGACACGATAAATCTTGTAGATTCTATCAAAGAAGAAACATAATATGAAGAACCAGAAATTGAAGGTGAGGTAGAAGAAAATTTTATTGAATTTGATATTGAAGATGTACTATCACATTCATTTGTAGCTAGAAGATTGATGTATTCACCAAAAAGAGAAGAAGGCCCATAACACCATAACACCATAACACTTTCAGAACAAGGTTCACTGTGAATTCTAAAGTATGTGATATAATCATTAATAGTGGCAGTAGTGAGAACATTATCTCTTCTATGATAGTTAAAAAATTAGGTTTGTAGACAAGCCCACACACTCATCTATATTGAATTGGTTGAATCAAGAAGGAAACAAAAACTAAAGTTTCAAAGATGTGTCTAATCAAATTTTCAATTGGTAAGACTTATTATAATGAAGTGGAATGTGATGTCATTGAGATGGATGCTTGTCACATGATATTAGGTAGGCCATGGCAATTTGATGTTGATGCTACACACCATGGCAAGGAAAATACTTATATTTTTTATAGAAATGGTAAAAAATTTGTTTTGGCTCTAATGTAAGACATTGATTTTTGCAAAGGAGAGAAAAAGAAAAGAAAAGTAATGCTCATCAACCAGATAGAGTTAGATTTGATTTTTGATCTATTCAATCTTGAAAAGTAATAAAATTTGATTTTGAGATAGAAAAAAATCAGGTGAATCATCATCACCAATATGAGCAGATTTATCTCATGATATTTTTGAACCTTAATTGAAATATTGACTTGCTCTAATACCAACTAACGTAACAGTTGCATGAAAGATAAACAAGATATGAGCTTGAATCCTAAAAGTTCTAATCTTGGGGTAAAAAGTTGCCTCTGAATCCATAGATTTGGAGTCTTCAACTCTTGAATCCACAAGGGGTTGCCTAAATCCATAAGCAAGAGGGAAAGGTTCTCAAAATAGTGAAAACTGATTAAACTAAAAAAAACTGAGGACCTCAAGTTACAATGGGGGCCTTTATATAGGCCTAGAAAGGAGGTTGGTCATTCTCCAAAAGGAGGATCTTGACAAATCCTGGGGACAAAGTCTAGTTAACTCTAAACTGACTTAAAACAAACTCTGACAGATTGAGATCTTAAATAGATTCTCTAAAAATACTCTAATTAACTCTAAAATGACCAAAAATAGACTCTGACAGTTAAAAATCTTGAACAGATCTTAAGTATAACCTCTGATAGTTAGAGATCCTAAACAAATCTTAGGTATAGACTAAACCACATTAAAGTCTCTTCTAGAAGGAATGAGACATAAAGTACCTTCTAGAAGTGAAAGGACATAAAGTGGGCTAAATTCAAACCTCCAGCCCACTAGTGACATATGTGGGCTCTTTTTCTTCCACTTTTCACTTTATGATGAGTGGGCCTAAATTTGAAGTTGACACTTCAACTTATGTCTTGGGCTACATCATTTTCTTTGTTTATTTTCTACGGAAAGAAATAATAGAGGGCAGGTGGTCTATCACAAAAGAGGTTGTCCTCAATTTAGTCTCCGCAACCAACAACGACAAGCTCAGTATAGTCAACCTCGGTTGCTCATTCAAGCAGAACACACTCCTTGTTGTGGGGAAAATCGTGGATACCATTGAGGTGCCATGCAAATGGCTCAGCCAGCCTCTACCAGAATTCTAGCTGTTTCTCAATGACCTCCCAAGAAAAGACTGGAACGACATCTTCTATTCTCTTGAGACCTACAATAATCTACGAGAGGATAAGGACCTTGGCTGCTTTTGTGTGGCAGGAGTTGCTGGTTCTTCCCCACCAATAGTATAAACTTCTTTCACGCCTCTTCTAGCCTCCATTGGGTATCTCAAGTTTGTAAAACTTCCCTTTATTCAGATGAAACACTATTATTTCAATGGTAATGATAAGAATAGTGCAATTAAGGCTTAGTTATAGTTAGCTTCAGAATTTTCTATTTCATTAGATCTATTGTCCAATGACCAATATTTGATGTCCATCTGATTATTTGTTGTTTGAACAATATCTGATGGATTAAGGTTCTTCTGAATAGAACATGTTTTCTCTTAGACATGTTGTCTGGTTATGAAACTCTAAGGCCCTTACCACTAGGCCTTTTAGAGGCTTTTCTATGTACCTTAACATGTAGCGAATTATAAATTCGAAATTTATATATAAAATTATAAATAGTTAAATAAATGTTGCATGCCTATAATAGAGAGTGTATACCTATAATAATAAATATTACATATATTTAATAAATGTTGCAAATTTCATAGAGTAAGCTTAGTGTAAAGTATGACTCCTGGAAAAGAAGCTATAGAGCAGACTAAATGATCAATATTTGGTCCACCTCTGTTGTATAAAAAATTATCACGTTTAAAACATTTTTTTAGTTGCACTCGAGATCCCTCTTTAATCCATTTTCATCAACCATACCTTTCCTAATATTTTTTCATTTTTAATGCATATTTAGGACCTATTCAAGGCCATAAGTAAAAATAATAAGCCCCCTTTAAACAAGGAAGCATCAATATATCTGAAAAAAATCTTTATGCATTGGATGTGGACGCAAGCCAGTTCAAATGTGACTTTTCAGATTTCCTAAGGTTCAGATCAATAGAAATGGTATCAAGAGGCCACATAGTGCTAATGTTCTTTGGAAGGACAGGTTTGATATGCTTAATTCTGAAGCTATATGTCATTTGAACTTGTTGTCGTCAGTGCTCATGGAGATGGTCCAAGAGGTCTGTAATTTACTCATAATTATAGAGTTTCATTTTGTTATCGTTAGTTGTTTGTACATTATGAGATCTCTTCTTCTATTTAATAAGAGAGAGAGAGAGAGCCTGACATTTTTCTTTGATCTTGTTTCAATAAACTCTTATGGTGAAAAACAAATATGTACTCCCATGACCTAACTGTATTGCCTTCTGTGTTTTTATGAAATATATTGCTATATCATATTGGTAGTTTGGTACAAAATTTTATGAAAAAATATAACATCTAAATGATTATCAGAATTTATTTTTTTTCCGCATAGGGTTGTGTGGAAGATAAGGTTGATTCCTTTAATTTGCCAATCTACTCACCTTCTGCTGAGGAGGTGAGTGTGAAATTATAAGAGAAGGATCCTTTTCCTTGGAGTCCCTTAAAGTGTTTGAAGTAGACATTAATGTCAATAATGCTAAAGTCTGAGTTCAACTGGAGGACAAACATATTTTACAAGTAGTGTTAGAGCCCATTCTTGTAAGTCATTTTGGAAGGACTATTATTGAAAGTTTGTTTTCTAGATTTGCTAAAGTTTTCAATGAAGATACCAGAAGAAGCCAATTAAGTTTAACCAATATCATTATATCCTTAGCAAGAAAAACTTGAGAATTTCTTTTTGATGGATCCTTTAGTTTTGAAGATATTTGTTCAGACCAATAGAGAAACACTTCCTCCCTCTTCCTTTGGATCTATAATACCTTGAATTATGTTGGTGCCAAAGCATATCTTCAATCTTGGCTTCTCCTTCTTGAATGTGGACTTGGACTGCTTTTTCAATAGAAATGTCCAAGATATAATGGCAAACATATTGGTCCAAGTTGTGTTCCAAAGGAAACAAAAAGTGGTCTTTGTCGTTCTAGTTGTCTTTATACCTCACTAAAATTGGGTATTATATCCCTTGTGAGTTATGGAGAATTCATACTTCTATATCAATTCAAAGCATGTGGGCTAATTTGCTCTCCTAATGGCTTTGCCCCTTGCTGATGCTTACCTTTAGCTAGTATACTCTTTGTTTCTATATCTTGAAGTGTGATGCTTTTTTATTATTTATGTAGGATAAATAAATATTTCTTCTAGAAATAAGAAAAAAAGATGAATCTACATATTATAGTATGACAGAACAAGATTGAGGGTTGTTGAAATACCTCAAAAGCATTCGATCAAAACATTTATGCACTCAAATTTCACCGATTAACATGTAAAAATCAAGTATGGTGGCAAGTTCAAGGTTGATCCAAAGAGCATGTGATTCATGTCATTGAAATGAAAGTGGTCAACAAAGTAGGGAGAAAACTATAAGGATTAGAGGAAGAGATCAAGAAAGATAACAAAAATCAGAACTTGATTGAAAATTGATTGTTGAAAAGGAGAAAAATGGAAAAATGTACTGTGAATGACGAAATCCTCTAAATCTAAGCATTAAAGTAAGTCAAATGTAAATAAATCCATCTAGATTGGTCATAGTCAATACATAAACTTCACACTATCTTGGATTACTACTGAAATGTTTCAATGTGTGCCAGATCAAAGGCTTTATACATGTTTTCATGGCAGGGGATCCCTTAATATGCAACCAAACCATGAATAGTTGCTACCAATTGAATCATCTTTTCAAGAGCTTTCTATTGGTACCAAAGTATTGCACAGTAGGATAAAACAAAAGTTTATTTTGGTCATGATTTCTTGAGTTTGTTTTTCAAACAAATAAAAAAAAGGAAGACCACATATATATAGGAGGTTCAAAAGGGGAATTGCCATCTGATTTTGATTGGACAGCAAAGATCATGCCACATCACCAATAGTCAATTGAAACATTGTTGAATCTATGCACACCACATTAGTTCTACTTTCGTTGATGGCCTATTGATGATTTAACTACCAGCCTCTTAATATTTTGGCTTGTTGGGTCACTTCGCTTGGCCAACCTAGCTTGGCCAAGTGTGGCCTGTTCAGATTTTCTTTTATTTTCTGTCTTATTAATTCCTAAACAATACCTAAAAACCTTTAGAAACCCTAGA